TGTGTGTGTGTGTGTGTGTGTGTGTGTGTGTGTGTGTGTGTGTGTGTAAAAGTTCATTGGGTGCTCAAGGAGGGTGAACTATCTCACTTAATTTGCTAAACAACCCTACTGTAATTAGCACTACCATTAGAAGGCATTACCGAGTTAATACCTAAGCATACATTCCCCAAATACAACACAGATATAGAGCAAGGTCCAGCAACATACATACATACATAAGTACATTGTACACACAAGACCCAGTGATTGGCTCAAAATAAACGTGCAAACAAAATCTACATAACATTTGGGCTTATCATACAAAAGAGTAATCATGACTTTGTTTTAAAGCCCCCTTTAAAGACCAAAAACCTCATCACAAAACTAAAGGGATTTCCCTCCTCCTTCCTCCCTCCCTCTCTCCCCCCCAGACATCACAACTGCGGTTGAGAGAAGCGATCACTTAATGAAGAACAATGCCAAATATAGTTTGAATGAGGTATTCTCTTCATGTCCTGGAAAATTAATTTTTTAAAAAACGTAATGAATCTGCACAGGAAAGAAACCACACTTTAAACATAACATTCTGGCAGAGACTCAGTACTTTGTTAAAGCAAGCTTGTTTCCTATGGAAGATCAACTGTATATGCCCCTTTACATTTTAACTGTCTATTCCCACAGACGTGCATACCATTCGCGGCTACAGTGGTATCTGAAGATTAAAAATTTGTTAACAATATGCTAAACAACGCAGTAAAGCAGGATATACTTTGCTGGTAAAATAATCTAGTGAAAACCAAACCAGGTCTAGGCTTCTATCGTACTTTTCTTCTTGCTTTCTGCAGTTTTCCCTCTTCCCCTCTCTCACACAAACACACACTCTCTCTCTCTTCCTCCTCCTGTGTCTCCCTCTTTCTCACTCACTCTCTCTTTCCTATATGAAAAGGAAGGTTGATTTGCTATGGGTATGATCTGTTGTATGGCTCCCCCCCATGTGGAGTTGAAGCAGTCCTGATTACATACTCTGCATATCACAGGCTTTATTCGCTCGCTCTCGCTCTCTCTCTGTGCTCTCCTCTCCCTCTCCCCTCTCCCTTGTATGTGTCTCTGTTGTAGGACTGGCTATGGCCACCACTACTTCCGGGTTCCGTCATTTCATTCTCCCGCCGATCAGCGCTGCAAAACTGAGCCTCTTCTATAAGCCAGCCAGCAGCCAACCTGCCAACACTTACTGACACTCACTCATCTCAGAGAGAGAGAGAGACAAAATACCTACCAGGGGAAAAAAAGAGAGAGAGAGGGGGAAGTCCAGGTTTTGCAAACTATTCAATTTTTCTTCGCATCTTTCCCCACCCCCCTTCCTAGTACTTAAAAAAAATCCCAATAGCGATCCTAAAAGGCAAAACCCAAACGCGGAGTTACTGGAAGAAGAAACCGGGGTTAAAAAGATTCCTCCTCTCTTCTTCATCATCATCAACCATCATTCATTCACTACCTTGACATTCCCTGGCTTTGATTGACAGCTGGAGTGGCAAAAAGCCATGAGACACGACAGTTTGGTTACATGTGGGCTGCTGACGGGCCGATCGTAACCTTCAGTTTGGGGGCTTGACAATTTTTTTTTTTTTTTTTTTTTTGCTTAGAGAAAGAAAAAAGGAAAAAGAGAGAGAGAAAGAGAAAAAGGAAAGAGAGTGAGAGAGAAAAAAGAAGAAATACACAAACATCGTGGTTCTTGGCTGATTATTTTTTATTATTGTTGTTGTTGTTATTGTTATTATTATTATTATTATTTACCCAGACTGGAGAATAGGCGAAGTCTTAAGTGGGTTGCCAAAAAAAGGAATCTTCTTCACTGTAAATCACTTTCTTTTCTGGACTGGGATATTAAATATACGACACATCCAGGAGTTTATTGGAGCGCAGACTGATGGCGCAAAGGGTAGGTTTAAATCTCCAACACTTACCTATATATAAATCCTCTCTTAAGAGGGGCCTGTCCGATTTGCTCTCCTCTGTTGCTGATGATGATGGCGGCCAGTATTAAAAAATAGCAGCAAAAATTATTCACCAGCTTTGTGTGTGTGTGTGTGTGTGTGTGTGTGCGTCTCTCTCTCGCTCGCTCTCTCTCTCTCTCTGTGTGTGTGTCTCTGCAATTGTTCCACGCTTTTTTCCTCTCCAGCTTTTCCCCCAGCAGCGCGATTTCCCTGCTACTCTAGCTGCTCAGTAGCACGGGTTTCACAGGGGAAGGCTTGCTGCTGCTGCTGCTGCCGCTGCCTGGGATATCTAAACATATATCTATACACACATATATTGCTGCTTGTTTTGTCTCTGACTTTGACAACGACAAGGGGAATTGCTACTAAATAATGTTTCTGGTAACTTTCAGATTATTTCCCTCCTCCCCCCATGCACCCTACGTTCTCCTCCCTGCTTCCCAGTGTTTAGTTCTTTATTTATTTATTTGCTTTTGATTCTGTTTATTCATTTATTTCTGCTCTTTGCTTTCTAATTCAGAGTAACTCGAGTTTCTCCCTCATTTCCTTCCTTTTCATCCCAGTTTCCTTGTTAGGGTTTCTTCTTCCTTGATTGAAGCGGACCCCCCCCCCCCCCCGGTACCTCTTCCCCTCCTCACACGCCCCCCCGCTCCTTCCCCAACCCTTGCTAGCCTCTGCTCTTTATTTTATTTTATTTCATTTTGTATAATTCTCCCTCCGTTGTGGCTGTTCCTGTTTGGTTTTGCTGTGTTGTGGTCTGTCTGGGTGCTTTACTCTCTTCTGACTTTTGTTGTTGTTGTTTGTTTTTTTTTTGTTTTGTTTTTTCCTCCCCCTCCTCCTCCTCCTTTTTTTTCTTCTTCTTCTTCTTCTTCTTCTTCTTCTCTCTCTCTCTCTCTCTCTCTCTCTCTCCTGGCCCATTTTTTGACAGTACGATGAGCTGCCCCATTACGGCGGGATGGACGGAGTAGGGGTGCCGGCTTCCATGTACGGAGACCCTCACGCTCCCCGGCCGATCCCTCCGGTTCACCACCTGAACCATGGGCCGCCGCTACACGCCAGCCAGCACTATGGAGCCCACGCCCCGCACCCCAATGTCATGCCGGCCAGCATGGGATCGGCTGTCAACGACGCCTTAAAGCGGGACAAAGATGCGATCTACGGGTAGGTACATGCAGGGTAACCCGGGCGCCATAGCCCGGCTTGCGGCGTGTGTGTTCTGGACTTGGGGAAGGAGGCAGAGGAGAGGAAGGGTGGGAGAGGGCTCCCATCTGTGGGCATCGGGCTGGCGAGGTTGAAGGGGTAACTGTCTAAAGTTGCTTTGGAGAAAAAGACGTGGGAGACACGGCTCGTGAGGGTTTTAGGAGAGTCACAGACACAAATCACTGCTCTGGAGGGAGACCTGTAATGTGGCTTTTTATTAGTAGTAGTAATAATAATTAATAATAAATAATTTTTAGTCTGATGACATCGGAGGGACATAAAGTAGCGATAGGAAATGTGCACCAGAAAATACACCCCTATACGTGAAAGTTGTTTTTTCTTTTTTTTTCTCTCGGAGAGGCAGAAGTTAGGAGCTGAGACAGAGGGGGTGGATACCACGGCACTGGATTTTAGCTGAAGCAGTGTTGTTCTGGTTGATCAAGATGCCATAATAACACTCCTCTAGCACTGTAAATAAAGAGGTATTCAAATCGCGGAAGACAGAGTAATAACAGAGGGGCTCACTTCTGGCAGACAACTCTTCTTTGAAATGGAAAAAAAATTGGAGGCAGTGAGTTGAGCTTCCCTGTTTAGAAAGAAAAAAATAAAAATTAAAAAACCCAAACCAAAACAACAAATCCCTGTACCAATGCAATGCTTTGGGGGAATGACACAGGTTCCTTTCAGTGCAGTAAATTACCCCAAAAGAAGAGCTAGTAACCTCTATGACACAAGGAGGGCCCACGATCAGAGCTACAAAGGGGGAAAAGTGGCAAACACACACTTACTACTTAACACAGAGATATTTTTTCATGACTACTCCAATTATGGGAAAATATTTCTAGAAGTGCTTCTCCCTCCCCCTCTCCAGCTCAGTTATCTAGACAGCTGGTATTTTACTTGGGTGTGCTTTCTAAGCCAGGAAACTTCACCACATTTTTGCTAACAGTCTCCTTTAAAAATAATAAAGAAAAACCCCAACTACGAAGTAGTTCAAACAGTTTGCGTAACAGTGTTTCTCATTTTGGGTTCTAGCTTGGGGGTAGAGATGGGATTGTCCCGGTTTCATATTATTTAAAGCTGTGGCTAAAAGTGTAAGATTCACAGCTGAGCTACTGTAATGGGTGCATGCGTTTATTTTGTTCGGTGTTTAGGTTATTTTTGTCTCTGGTTTGTGGGATATGAACAGTGGATGCGGTTTGGGATTTTACATTTTTAAAATATTTTTTGAAGTTTTCATTTGTATTTGCCCGGTTTGAAGGCGTAGTTGAGGGCTGCAGGGTGTAATGTGTGTGTGTATATATATATGTAAGTATATATATACTTGTTGATTAGAGCTCTTCTTTCTTGCCTCTCTCCCCCCTCTCTTTCTTTGTGTGTCACTGCCCGGTAGGCACCCGTTGTTCCCCCTGTTAGCGCTTGTCTTTGAGAAGTGCGAGCTGGCGACCTGCACTCCCCGGGAGCCTGGTGTGGCCGGCGGGGATGTCTGCTCCTCGGACTCTTTCAACGAGGACATCGCGGTCTTCGCTAAACAGGTCCAGCACTTTTTCACAGCCCTACGACCCCGCTTCTCCCCCTACCCCCCACACAAACCACCCATCACCGCACTTTCAGAGAGAGAGAGAGAGAGAGAGAGAGAGAGAGAGGCTCTCATCTTTTGATTCCACACTGGAACTGGGGATTAGGGTGTGGAGTGGAAAATGTGATCTGCCACCGATCCGAAGTGGCCTCATCCGAAAAGAGTCGGTTCCAGACTGTTGAAACTAGTTCATCCAACTCCTCGCTCCCCCAAACCCTCAGCCCCACCAACCCAATCCCTGTGATCGAGTTGTTAGCCAGACACACTCACCCAGAGAAATAAAAGAGATCAAAAAGGAGAGGGCTCTGAAAGGACAGAGGCACCGGGCTGGCTGCAGTTTAGACTCTTTTTCACATAAATCGTTATTTCACAGAGCGTATTAATATTTTAATCTGGCCTGGGCGTATTTCGACTCGCTAGTTTGTCACATGTTTTTCCTTCAAGTTATTCGCTTACAGGACTTTGAACCGGGGCTGCAATTTACACTGATTTTCCTTCTTCTCGCAGGTCCGCGCTGAAAAACCACTTTTTTCTTCAAACCCAGAGTTGGACAATTTGGTAAGGCTTCCACGTTTGCCTTCCCTCCCACCCCTTTACTGTAGTTTGTGATACTAATAACAAGCACCTTTCTAAAACATGAAGGGATCGTTGTGAGTGAGCAGGCTGGAGGCGGCCGAAAGTTACAGGTTCAGCCATCCAGGGTTTAAGACCGGGAAGGGGGAAAGCAGAAAGATTAAAAAACTACATCCAAGAGGCTTCAAAGAGCTTCACTTTTAAAGTGAACCAGGGCAAACTCTGAAGTCCCAATGCATTGCAAAGCTGTGTTTAAAGCCGCGGGAAGCGACAGTGAAGGAAATAACTGCTTAAGAAGAGAGAGCTGGAGATTTCTAGCGCAATTCTTTTGCTAATGCGGATGATTTCAATAGTAAAAGTGCCTAAATCCGCTTGTAAAGAAGATGCCAAACGATGCATCTTGAGCGTTTCCCCTTTTTTTCTTTCTTTTGAGATGTGTGTGTGTGTGTGTGTGTGTTTGGTTGGTTGCTGTGCGGACCCTCAGAAATAAGTGCTGGGGGAGACAGAGGGGGATTTCTCTAGATCCCAGTGAGACACTAATCACCGCTCTTAAAATAAATATGATAAAAATCGAGTGCTTAGGGTTAAAGTTGATCAAAATTGCTCAAGCGTGACAAGTGAGCTAAAAACCTGGCTAATGAGTGTGCGCCCTGACAAGCCCCCTCTCTGCCCATTGGGGCTCGCAGCTCTGCACAGACCCCAGTGCTGCGTCCTTCTCACAAATAACTCCTCGCTCAAAACTTTCTTTCAGATGATCCAAGCAATACAAGTACTAAGGTTTCATCTTTTGGAATTAGAAAAGGTAAGACCAAGGGAGCTGGGGTCTGTGAATCCCACTCTCATTATCCCCCCCCCCCCAATGATTTGTTTTAGACACTTATAAACATTGTCAAAGAATATAGGGGAAACGCAGTTTGATATTGTAACCTGGGCCCTAAGACCATGTGACACTCGACAAACATGCTGAGCCCAACCCCGCATTTCTTTTTAATTGTAATTCGAATGGAGCTTTTAAAAAATAGTTTAACCCCTTTACATTCACCCGACTCTTTTAAATGGATGCGATTTCGCTGAGTCAGAATATTATTTTCAAAATGAAATAACCCCTGCTCTAATCCAGATCCCATCGCCATATTAACCTCAGTCAGCCTTAAATATTATGATTAAGCAGAAGGTGACGGGGGTAACTGTGCTTTGAGATGAGACTGGGATCTTTTCAGAGCATAGGCGCACTTATTTATTTTTACAAGTCCTGGAAATACATACATCTCTGCCACAGATCCCATCACAAGTTACCCGCTATACCTGGCTGGATTGAGTATGCTCCAGCGATATTGGCTAGGTCCAGTTTCCAGTGTTTTGATGTTATCACCAAATCCGATTTTCCTCTATAGACTAGGCTGAGCCCAGTATCTCTCTCTCTCTCTCTCTCTCTAACTTGTTGCTGCGGCCAGTCTCTAGAGAATAATATGTGCTGCAACAATTTCTCTATTGTTTCCTTGTCTTCAACTTTTATGTCCCTTAATTAGAGTTACTCGTGGAATAGATCACAGAGTTTCTCTTGCTACAAAAAAAAAAAAAAAAATAAAATAAAAAAAAGAAAAAAAAGGGAAAAAAAAAAAAAGAAAAAGAAAAGCTGCAATCCGATATTTTGCCTTCCTTTTTTTTTCCAGGTCCACGAGTTGTGCGATAACTTTTGCCATAGGTACATTAGTTGTTTGAAAGGAAAAATGCCAATCGATCTAGTTATTGACGAAAGGGATGGCAGCTCCAAATCTGACCATGAAGAACTCTCAGGATCTTCCACAAATTTAGCCGACCATGTAAGTCCTCTTGATCCCTTTATAGCATTTTTAAAGACTCTAACCTGCTTAGGAGTCGCCTTTTTTTAGCCTGTGTAAGTCTCTCTCTGCCCCCTCCCCATTCCCCTACGAGTTTTAAAGTTCTTCTTATAGTCGATTCTCCCCCCTCCCCCCTTCTCATTCTATCTGTAGCACAGGGAGTTTGCTTATGATTTGTTAAGTTTCCTGATCTGGGCGACTTGCAGCGCTAGCAAATTGTCTATTTGATGTGCTGATCGGTGCTTTTTCTGCTTTGCCAACCCTGTAATCAATGCAGAAATGCAAGAAAACAGAGTCGAGAAAGTTAGGGGGAAAGTTTGGTGACAATCCCCCCCCCCTTGTGCAGATGACAAGTGCTGAGAATTATTGGCAGTTTTACACTGCATTAAGAAAAGGGTTAACACATTGGAGTTTCCAATGCTTTTGCTTTATAGCAACTTATTGTCAGAATCTGGACTTATTGCCAAGTGACCAAAGCATCTTCATAATAAAAGACAGTAACCTTGATGAACCAATTATTAACAAAGTATTACAGAAAGCTGGAGAGAATTATGATTGAGTAACCGTAGGTTAGCGGTTGATTTTAACACTTTAGTAGTTGGTGAGTTATTGTTATGTGTGTAGGACTAAACGTTGGTGCTCATGATAAGAAGAGTGGCTTTTCTTCTCCGGCTTGTGTTTTGGTGCAGGTCTTGTGATGCTTTAGAATGTGTATATACAAATAAATAGACATTTACAGTGGGGGAAATGAAAGAAAAGATTGCAGCTGGTAGCGGAGAAAAGGGAACGAAATAGCTATGGTTAAAAAGAGTGGGTGTGAACTATAGTTTATTTATAGGAATGCATCCCTGGGGAGAAAGAGGTTTACACAGTTTTAGGTTCAATTGAACTCATAATCTAAATGATACATCTAATATTTTAGCCGTTGAAATATTCATTTAACACCCAGTGTGTCTTAACCATACTCTGCACAGGCGTCCAGCTGTCCTTTCTTGTGTGGTAAAAAATGTAGATTTAAATTAATAGAGAATCAGGTTTCTATGAGCTTCTTTTCATATTTAAAATAGGTTGTCTGCATATTTAATAATCGTATTTGATCTGTATTGAAATCCATGATAAGAAATAAAATAATATATTTTTAAAAAGTCTCCAACCCGGAGTGCTTAAAGTTCCAGGACACTGAAAATGGTTTCTGTATTCCAGGCTTTAGCTTTCAATTCTTCATTTGTATTTGGTAAACCTTGAGGGGCTATATTCTTATGATAGTGTGCATTTTAGACTTATTATTTTCAAATAAAAATGTATGCAGCAGTTACTGAAAGTTTCTCTGCTTATCAGCTATCTCATCTGTAGATAATAGAGTCTATGAGGCATGACAGTAGTTTTTAAAATATCTGTTTTATGGCATTTTCAACCCTAAATTTGTATGCACAAGCATTAAGGGACTAGTAGAAAAGAAATTTAAATGAGTGGCAACCTGAAAGATATAGGCTCATTCTGTATAATTCAGAGCAATACAAAAAACCTACATGTTTTTTCCAGTACAGTTTCTTTACAAGAGTGTGTTTCAAGTGGAAGTGTAGAAATGGACCACGCTGATGTTTATATTGAAGAGATTAGATAAACTAGCCTGTTTAGGGTTCTGGCAGATGGCGAATACTCAAGCCAATTTGCAGTGCTCCATTATAATATTTAAATTCACACACAATGATAGGACAAGGTTGGAAGGGGTTAGCATTTTGATAATTTGATAACTATTATCTTCACTAAGAAGAATCTCCTGTTGTTTTTGTGGCCCAAAAAACAAACTCAAATAAATATGACAACCCATTTATCTTGCACCCTTTAGGGTTTACCACTTCATTGGGTATTATAATTTAAAGCCTTTTATTTCCTGGAGATTTGTGCAATAACATTTTTTACTTTAGCCCCCTGCTATTTGTTTTGAAAGGAAGCAATAATTTGTGCAACCAGAACACCAACTGGGAAATGAAGAGTTGTATCATAGTTACATTTTATTCATGCGTTTTGGGAAATGTGTCTCCTTATTGGATTTTTTTTAATGTTAGCTTGTTTTCCCACCAAAACTTTGGAACTCTTCAATATAAATATACACACTTCACTGGGCTATATTAAGGAATGTATATACTGCGCTGTTCTATATTAAGGAATAATTCACTTCTACTTCTAAAGAAGGAAAACCTTTTCTATTTGTCGGTATGCAAATACCAGAATAAAAATTGAAATGTTCTTTTGTGAGCATCTACCTAAGAAATGGAATAGTTCAAGCATGCAAATTTGTCCAGTTTTACTCTCCAGGTTATTTTTTCATTGGTTTGATATGCATATTTAATACATAGCCCCAGGCTAGATCTCATTTGGTGAAAATTGGTGCAGGGGTGTTGATGATCCCCTTCAGAAGGACAGAGACAGCATGTTGTTTCCTCTGTTTTATCTGTTGGCCCACTGTTCTGATCCAGGGATCTTCCCCCTGGTTTTATTTGCACATGAAATACTAGAAGCATTTCAACTGATTGGCTATGAATAATGACAGCTAAAAAGAAGTGTAGTTTAATTTGTTGTGTGCCAAGGTTTCTCTTGTGGAGGTGACAGTTTGTGACAGCTGTTTGACACCCCCAAAATCCATACACCTCTCTTCTTATTAAGTGGTATCAAGCTACATTGTGTGTGTGTTTTATGTGTATGTGTAGGGTGGTGGTGGTGGTGGCAGCAGTATATTAGGTACTAATGCAGCTCTCAATATTATTCCTTTTGCCAGACTTGAAAATATAGCTGAAGGAAAGTAACTAAAAGAAATATGAGTTTACCCAGTATTTACAGTGTGACTTCTGAAAGTGGGATATTCAGATGCTGTATATTTCCTTTATAGAAGTCTACTGCTGTGATATTTATACAACTTAATTGGGGGGGGGGAAATGGGGAAGGGGAGGAAATCATTGATCTCTGCAGAAGCAATACCTGTGCTGGAAAAGCAGGCAGTCTTATGCAGTCTTGTCATATGTGTTTGTTAATAAATGCACATATTGAATTTTATTTTAGTGCACTATTAACTGTTATGTAATACAGTGAGTGTAAGGGGGGCAGAGACTTTGTAAATCAAATCCTGTAGTGCTAGTCACTGAAAAGCTGCAACTTTTGTTATTATTCTGCTATGTTTAGTAAATATAACAGCCCATACTTAGTGTTTGAAATTTTAACATCCTAATTTTTTGTTATTGCTCTGAGGTATTAAGTGTAGATGGAAAGAAGTTAATTACAGCCATGCCCTGCCTGCACCAGATCAGTTAAGGAGGTATGGGGGGGGGGAAACCTGCCCAAACTGCAGTTCAAGTTGAGTTTCCCAGCTATGAAAATTTATCATTGTTCAATATAAACATGTAGGGCCCAATCCTGCATTCCACACGCACTAAACTCCCACTGAGGTTGATCATAAATCTTTTCTTTAAAAAAAAAAATGATCCCAGTTTGAAAAGTCTATTGCTCATGGTATTTGAAGAATCATAAACTTTTTCAAAGTCTATAATATTTCTCTGCTTTGCTTTATTTACATTTTCTTTTGTGCACAGCTTTGTCTCATACCATACAATTCTTCCCTGAGTCCAAATCTGAGTTAGGGCCTGATGCTGTTCTCACTGAAATTAATGTCAAACGTCCCGCTGCCTTCAGTGGGAGCAGGATTAGGGTCTCAGTTTGCTCGACATTTGTTTATATGCTGTAGTCAGTTGAAAATTGAGGTACTAATAAACTGATCATTCATAAAATGTAATTAAAAATAGATAGATAAAAACATAGCTATCTCTTTTTTATAAAATAATCTTTTCCAAATTAGAAATCTGATGCCCTAGCAGTAACACATAAATAGTGGTTTGAATGTTAAACCTTTCTGTTGTCAGATCAGGATACATTAGCTCTCATTATTAATTATTATTATTATTATTATTTAACATCAAGTTGTTTTATAGTATTCTAATACTCCTTTTAGAAAGGTTAGTGCTGAGCAACCTAAAGGGGTTTAAAAATGGGGGGTCTCCTACGTCTCCTACGTCTGTCACAGGTTGTATCGTCTTGCCTATTGGTAAGATTTCATTGTCAGTTGAGCAGTGAGCAAATTAGTAAGGGCCTGATACTGCATTCTCCATGCTCCCCAAAATCCCATGGACTTCAGCAGGAGTTTTGTGTATACCAGGAATGCAGGATCAGACCCTAAAGGTGTCCTTCTGGTTTGTCAAATGTCAAAAGGGAACCTAGATAGTTATAGCAATAGTAATAAGGCAAATACTTTTATATAACCAAGTTTCTTAGTGTGTAGTTTAAGATTTGGAATGTTCTTTGTGATCTGCCACCATGTGTCATTGGGGGAGGGGGGAGGCTTCTAATACACTAAAGGATGTTGTATTTTTCTGTTTTTTGATTGCTGGTGCCTTTCCTAAGCATTTAAATACAAGTAAATTTAACTATTTTTATTTGATTAAACTTCATTGTGTTTCACAAATCTGAGAGATGATAATGCATTTTATTATCTCACTGATGTTGGCATTTCCTCTTTGGTTTAGGTGTTGTCTATCTGATCCCAAGTTAGGTTGGAAAATTATATGTACATTGGGTTTTTTTTTGCATGATAATAATTTAAAAGTAGTAATATAACTCCAGAAGAAGTGTTGCTAGATAGAATTAAAAATCCTGACTGTTCAAGTCTTGGTTCTATACAGACAGGTGGTTTACATGTTTGATTCAAAGTTAAACTGATGACTACAAAAGTGCAAGGCGCCTATATATTGTTTAAGAATGATGCCACTTTCTAGGACTGTAAACAGTTCTTCCTGAAACTTCACTCAAATGCAAAGTCAGTGTGGTGAGAATGTCAAGATTTTTTTTAAAAATAGCCATGTATGAAACTTGCACGTATATATACATAAACAAATTACTTCTTTTCAATAGATCAAAATGCCTTGTGTTTTGTT